GAAAGAAGGGGTCGAATAAGTTGCTTATAACAAAGTACTTTTACTTTGCTATTAAGCTGGTTATGTCTACGGAGTGCATTTTTGAGGGATTTATGCCTGAAGGTGGCATTTTGGATGGCATAACTCACATGGGAGACGAAGTTATGCTTAGGAGTGAATACAACTCCCAGGTACTTTAGCTTGTCAACAAGCTGAATGGGGGTGCCATTGATTCTAAGTTTAAGGTTAGAGATCTTAAAGGACGCAACTCGATCAGCACGCTGGCCAATAAGTGGTATTGCAGAAATTTTTGAGTGATTGAGCTTAATCTTCCACTTACCGTAGTAAGCAGAGAGGGTGCTAAGGTGGCTATTAAGCTCAGTTGAGATTCTACGAGGAAGAGTGGACTTCATATAAATGAGGCAATCATCTGCATAACAGATTTGCTTAATGCATGGGGGAGGAGTAGGAAGATCTGATGTGTAAATATTAAAGAGAATGGGGCCAAGTACTGAACCCTGAGGAACACCGGCAGCGATGGAGTGTTCACTAGAAAGAGATGAGCCAATTCTAACAATGAAGGACCTATTTGTAAGAAACTGATAGATAACGCTACAGAGTTGGTTTGGGGCTCCAAGAGCAAGAAGTTTGTGTACCAGACCCTCGGTCCACACTGTGTCAAATGCCTTTTCGATATCTAGGCTGATGGCTACAGTGGATTGTTTGTTAGCAAAGCCAATACAAACGTCATTCTGAAGATGGTGCAACGCATCCACAGTCGATGTCTTATTTCGGAAACCGAACTGAAAGTTCGGGAGAACACGGTTTTCGGAAACGAAAAACTTCAGTTTGCCTTGTATGAATGTTTCGTATAATTTGCTTACTGAGTTTAAAAGGGATATGGGTCTGTAGGAGTTGGGATCAGATTTAGGCTTTCCACTTTTATGGATGGGACGCACGATTGCCTTTTTCCATGGCTGAGGAAAATAGCCAAGATTGTACGCATGATTGAAGATCATGGCACAAGAATTAAAGAAAATAGGAGACAAACGGCGCAGAGTATGATAGGATATCTTATCGATACCCGAAGATTTTTTGGGGGTTTTGAGAGAGAGTATCTCCCAAAGGACCGAAGGAGTTATGAGACCACTAGGGTTGCTATTGTCGGTGCAGAGGGCAGAGCATTGACGAGAGAAATTTGCAATGGTGCCGCTATAGACATTGAAGAGGCTATGGATGTGGTTATTGGTGGCTGAAACAAAGTCAGGGTCACCGTCATCCAAAGTAAGTTGGTGATTTTTGGCGAAGACTTCTCCAAATATATTAGATTTGGATGAGTCCTCGGAGTAGATGGCACCTGAGTAGTACAGGTCTGGGATACTTTTATTGGAACCACAAATTTGACTGATCGTATTGAAAACGTCAGATCTGCATGTGGTAGTGCGAAGTTTAGCTTGTAAGCTAATAGATCTAGCTCTATTAATTCTCTGAGATATAATAGAGTCTAGGTTTTTCAGAATCGCTCGAAATTGAGCAGCAAAGGTAGAGCCAGCCGCCCTAAGACGGTAGACTTTACGACGAAGGGATTTCCTGTGCCTAATGAGGTTCAGAGTGCAACTGTCAAGAGGTACCTGATAGCTTCGAAGAAGTCTAGTTTTGGGAACATGAGCCTCGACTGTACTGGAAATGACAGACTCTAGTTCAGAGACCAAAATGTCAAGTTCAGAGCAGGACACATTCCTATGTTCTGGGATATTAATATTAAGTAGATATTGGTCCAGAGTGTTATTAAACTCTAGCCAATCAGTGGCCGCAAAATTATAGATGGTACGAGGAGCGAGAGCAGAAGCTCTGCACCCAGAAAGAGGAAGGTACACCGCTTGATGGTCAGAAATACCGTCTATGACGGAAGGTTCTCCAAGGAAATTGTGGAGCCTGTTATCTATCAGAAAGAAATCGAGAACAGAGTTAAGGCGTGTTGGAACAGAGGGGGCGAGAACCCTAATGTCGTGACTCAGTGAATTATCACTGAGCCATTCATATAAGACAGTACCATTAAAACAGGTACTTTCATTAAACCAAAGGGTGTGCTTACTGTTAAAGTCACCACCGATGATTACCCGGTTTTGGGTGAGGGTTAGAAGAGTGTCTAAGTCAGATGGCTCAATTCGCGAAGAAATAGAGGGAGTATAGTAAATACAAAACAAGTCAAGGAAAAAGCAATTGACTTCAATGGTAATCCCTACAGCTTCCATGGAGGCTAGAGGAGGTATGGAAATACGAGAGAAGCTAAGGGAATCTCTAATAAGAATAGCGACTCCCCCACCTCTGCCGGCTCTATCATAGCGAATAAATTTATATCCGCTGAAAGTAATTCACGGCATTATGTACAACAACATTATATAGACATGTGGCGTCTACGTAAACATAGCGTTCGAACACCTCGTTTGAACGTATGAATAGTTGAAATAGAAAATCTAAATAATCAACTTGAACATTGCGTTCGAACACCTCGTTCAAACGTATGAACGTTTGAAACAAAAAATGTAAATATTGTATGTAAGTAGTTAAATAAAGAAACACTTCCTTCTGGAGTGTGACCGAATCACACAGAAACTTTCATGAAATATGCCTAAAGGTGCAAAACTTTATTACTTTTAGCTTCAAAACCGACAACGATCTGAAACATACGGCTTATGATGTGCACATTGTCCCAATCGCCAATGTTTCTGAAAGTTTCCATAAGGTGTGCCATGATTTTGTTCTGCAAAATATTTGTTGTACTTTTTTCTGGATTTTTATGTATAATAAATTAAATATAAGAGTGAATAAAGTGAATTTATAATTGCAAATTAAGCATTCAATCTTAAAAAGTTTTTGTAATTAAAAAATTGCTGTGGCTTTTGGCAGCATTTTAATGTGGCAAAAAACCGCAGAATGTAACCAATGTATTATTGTCAATCACAGCTGAAAACAAAACAAACGTCGGAACGGTCGTTTTTAATTCTTCTTAAGTAAAGCGAAATTGAATTGTCAACGCAGCTGATTTTGTTTTTATTTATTGTGTTTAATAAATATAGTATATTAACAAGAAAGCGGAAAAAAGTGAAATTTCAGATTACTTAACAACAGCGCTGTTGAAACAATTAAATGCATTGAGGGTAAGTTTTTAACGTAAATTTAGTAGTAAATATTTTAATTTAACAATTTTAATAGATGCTTATGGCGAATGGTAGAGCTGCATGAAGATTTGTACGTAGATAATATGTACCGCAGAAACGCAAATAACAACGATCAAAAATACGTTCATTGGCACCAAGAAATTTCAACATTAATGGGTAAAAACCACACATAGTTGTACAGCTGGCAAAGATTTTTTTGAACAATGTTTCAACAAGCAACTGTAATTAAATCTACTGGGATAACGGGTTATTGGCGAAAACCCTGAATACATTGCTTGAATAGCTTTAATGTCCGGAATATGCGATGACGGTACCTTGAATTTAATGACTAGAAGTTTTTTAATGCGTTTTTGAATTTATTACTGCAATATATTCATTAAACAGATTTAATAGAACAAAATAGTGTGTCGAACTATAAATAAATTCCTGTTTTGCGTAGAGTCAGTGGTATCGCTAGACCAACTCTAGGCGTTGGTCTAGCCCCCTTGCATTACCGAATTCTAAAAGTAAATAATTTACATTAACTTTATCATATTATTTTATTGGTAATCAAATTCAAAAAAAACACGATTTAAAATAAATGAATTTTCCTACTTTTAGCCGTACTGAACGTTTTTAAAATTATATCATAATTTGCACCAGCTACTAGTTTCGCTTCTATTGATAAAATTGCCAATGCAGATAGTATTTCTTGACTCATCGTATTTCGCAAATAGGTCTTAATCAATTTTAGCTTTGAGAAGCTTTTTTCTGCAGAAGCTGTACTGACTGGAACTGTAAGCATGATTCTGGTTACTATATAAACATTAGGATATACTTCCTCTAAATTATTTTCTTTAATGAACCGGACGAGTTGCTTTATATCGTTGATTGAGTCTAGTGAATTCGATTTTAAAAGCAACAGTTCCTCATATAGTTCAAAAGACTGAATGTCGCAGTTTTCATCTTCCCGAAGTATTATATCCAAAGCATTACAATGATAGAGAAGATCTTCGTTTGGTATACTTTTTATATGAATAATGTCATATATGAAACCAAAGTGTTCAAAATATCCATTAAGTCCTTTAAATCTACAGTCGGTATCAGAACAATGGTTACTTCTTTACTATTCTTTTTTTTTAAATTTAGGTGCAATTTCATAATTACTTTTTTCTACAAACAATTGGGCTTGTTCAACGGTTTTTTCAAATCCAGTATTTCAATAATCTTTTACTCAATCACGAAATGAACATAGACTGTCAATAGAGATTTTCAAGTTTATTTTATTCGATTGCCATTGTTTATTTATATTATTAACCCCATTCGTACCATGGTGTGACTTTAAGTCACTATTGAAATTAACATTGAAATATTTTCTACTAATGTCTTGTTTTATTCAATATCCCTTTCAGTATTCCTTATTCAACTAATTTACTATATAAAAATGCTTGATTTGTATTTTTATTTTTATTTGTTTTTTATTTGAACATTTTAAACTTATACCGACGCACAGTGTTTCGAGTGGAACAAGTTAGGTGGACAAAATTATTTTTTATCGGAAATGCATTTAATATGTTGAAACAAAAAAAAATTGTTCTATGAGGTGTGTCGCAAATAAACAGTAAGCGAGTAAAAGTGGATTCAAGTTTCGAATACCTATATTTTCAATATATTAACTTTTTCAATATAAAATTACTTATGAATGGTTCAAGAATTATAAGAAATATAAATGTATTCAATACTCTTGTTTTCAAGGAATAATTAATTTTATTTATTATTATAAAAAACACATACCTATATATATGTATATGTACAAAAATTATTTAATAATTATAAATAAATAAATATTTAGTTGTATTAAAAAAGAAATAATTAGTTAATTTTGATAGCCACATGAACTAATTTGGAACTCATCACCATGGTTATATTATAAATGATTCCTACTCAGATTCAATATAAGCGCTCTTATCGCTACCGGTTTTGGAGTAATTTTCATAAAGCTCTTCTTCATAATCAGGAACATGAATATTAATTGGTGGTGATGCTAATAAATTTAAAACTTCACGAGGATATGTGTTTGAGTTTTTTGAAGGCACATTTCTTAAGCTACTTATAATTGGATCAGAAGTTACCAAAAGCATTGTAAGTAAGTCTCTATTCATGGCTTCTCGTGAGTTCTTTCTTGAATGATGCTGTCGATATCTACGACAATCCTTATTTCGCGCTTCCTGTGCTTCTTCTGAAAGCTGTTCTATTGGTAGAAGTGAACTATTAATAACATTCGCACTATGAATGAGAATCTTATGTAGAGTGGTTGACATGTAATACCAAAAATAGTGCTTTATATATAACTTTCTTGTCTTCTCCAAAACCAGATGACAAGGTCATCAATTTAATTTTTAAATTGTATATTAAATTTTCATTTAAGCCAGTAATTTCTGCACTTAATTTAGTATTATGAAAAAACTTTCGTGCAGTATTTCCATCATTAGAGGATCCACAACCTAGTTTCGGTTTGCCTATAATTAATCCCATATCTCGCTTAAATCTTGTTTTGATGTCATTCGAACGCTGTCTTACTATTATTTTATCGCAATCTTCTCTTATTTGCCATTTCTTAAAATCAAGTCGATAGCTAATGTGCAACCATAGATGAAAATTATGATTATTAGATTATTAGATGAAAAAACTTTTATATAATTCGTTTCTTTAGGTGTTGCTCCACAAATATAACACTTTTGTGGTGATCGAGTTTCTGTCAATGCATTGCACACCTTTCCATCAACTATTGTAAATAGCATTTTGTGTTCTACACTTATTTCATCATTTGTGTAGTATTTTTAACTGGCTTATGTCGTTAAGTACTTTATTGGATTCTTCTAGGGTAAATTCCGTGGTTTCTTTAAAAAAAAATTAGCTTAATTGGACGACAATACATTGTAGATGACGGCCGAGGATTCTGACATATTACTTTATTACCATATTTTAGTTGAATGGGTACAAATGAAAAAATAAATAAAAATTCATCACTATCTACGCAGTTTGAGAGTTTTTGTTTAAATGTGCTGTGTCCAGAAGTTCCATCACATCCCCATTTAGTAATTAAAATTAATAAATGAGCAGGAGACAATTCCCTCACCACATCTCTTTGCAATTCTAATATTCGAATTGTAGTGTGATCAATAACTGATTGCAGTTTTATTTCCATTCGAGTTTCTGATATTAATATGTCCTCATCTGGAGGGCAACAAGTTTTTTTTGGATTTCGCTAAAGAATAGTATGCTGGAAATATTTCATGACCAACTTTGAGCGCCCATTTTCGAGTTCGTTTGTATAAATTACTCATCAGTCTGGTATCTACAAGTTACGCTAATGCCTCATCACTTGTTAAACTTCGCATTTGGCTTTGTTCTGCACATTGTTCAGATTCTTTAAAGTCACTCTTCGTCGTGTTTTTAATAATTTTAGCAGCTTTTCGACTTCCAGCAAACCGCAGAGCAATTTCAGCAGCTGTTTTTAATTCAACAACACTTCTCATTTTTATCAAACCATGGACTCGGTTTTTTTGAGTCTCATATGAAGCTATTTCCATATGGTTTTTAGGTCGTCCTACCATTTTACACCTTTGAGATGATGTTGAGGGTAAAGGAATATGCTTTTGAATAAGTAATTTCACTTCAAACTGCAGAAATTCTGTATTTTTTGTAAAAAAACCGACTTTTTGATTTTCCACATGAGTACCACTTTACCTCAAATTTCTTTGACAAACTTGCTAATTTCATTTATAAATCTCTTGTAGACTCTTCTGTTATATCAGACAAGTCAAACTTTTGACTCATATAAAGTAAATGTTTTTTGCATCTTTCATGTTTTGCGTGAGACAACCATTCTTTGAAAAATTCCATTTTTGATAAGAGATAAGTGCAATCTAAAAACAAATTAAAATAGTTGAACAGTGTTGTGCGCTATAATATTTTCGGAGTACAAAGTCTACAAACTTATTTTTATTTTCTCTTGTATAAAAAAATTGACCGTTGATCACGTGATCAAAACACAACTGAAGATCACATTTAAAATTAACGCAAAATGTTTGTACTTCTATGCATCACTTCAGAAAACTAACGGTAGTTTTATAGCAATCGTTATTTGTTTTGCAATCTCAGCACATTTGTTTACAAAACTGCATTCTTGTTTTTGGAAATTGTGAGTATCAATTTTGTCCACTTACCTTGTACTAGACGAAACACTGTGCAATGTAAAGTCTCAGGTAGGGACTTAGAGTTACTTTGCCACTTTGCTTGAAATTTTGTCTGAGTCATACGTTCATTAGTGCAAGGTTCGTTCACAAAATTCTAGTTACAAAATACAAATTTTACAAAAAAAAATATATAAAATTTGATACATAATTTATTTAATTTATTTAATTTATTCATTTAATTCATTTTAATTTATTTGTTTATTTTATTTTATGCTAAATTTTAATGTTTTAAATTTTCAATTTAAAATATCCTGAAATTTTGAATCTAATTTTGATTTGAATTTGAATTTAATTTTCTGAAATTTTGATCACCGGTTTACTGAAATCGGTTTTGAGTTAAATCTTTGATTTTGAATCTTTACATTGGTCGAAAATGGCTCATTTTGGTCAAAAATCGAAAATGAGTAGCGAATGGCTCATTCTTGCATATAAAATTTTAAACGCGAAAATGAGCAATTTTCTCACATTCTGTATAAAAGACGTTCGGATGCATTCCACATATGTTCCAAATGCAAGGGAATCCATTGAACATACCCTAAATGAAAGCTCTTCATGGCATTTTGACAGTTTGAAAAAGCTGTTTTGACATATTTACAAAAAAAGGTAAACAAATGTTTGGTGGTTGCATTTTCTTTAAAACGATGCACCAATTTTTGGAACTTCTACTACCCAAAAATAAATAAATGGAATCTAGAAACAAGTTTTCAGTTTATATTGTAAGGTTTGAAGGTATATTTAACCTTCCTGTAACATTTTTTTTGGCACAGGCCAAAAATTAAATCAACATGCAAGTTGAAAAATCAGCTGATTGAAATGAGAAAAAATGAAATATAACGAATGTAAACACTTTCAAATGACTCATTCAGAATGAGCCATTTTCAGCCAGTGTAAACGCCATATTTTAATTATAATCTTAATTTTTCATTTCAAATTTTGAATTTTAATTTGACATTAATTTTCAATTAATATTAACGTTAATTTTGATATTTTGCTTTGCATTGCAAAATAATCTTAAAAATTGGCGTTGGAATGTGAAATTGTAAACTGGTGGATAATACAATCAAATTGAAGCATAAAGCAAAAAATACTTGATAGAGCCATACGATTTAATGGTATTTTATGGATTTATCAGATTACAATTCAATACATAATTTGTATACATATAATTTTACAAGGTCAGGGTAATAGGAAATAGCATTGGAATCCTTACTAATTTTGTATATGAGGGGTAAAAATGGTTAGCACATCTTAGTTAAATTCTGTTAGGTTGTATTCGCAACATATATTGCACCAATAAATTTTGCCTACATCATATTTTCAATATGATAGAGACAAAGTTAGGGAAATATATGTCTTTTCTAGCCAATTTTGGCAGATTTGGGATATGTAAACCCGCAAATATAAAAATTTTACTCACAATTAGACAAACGGAAGTCAAAAAAAAATTCTAAATTCGCATGTAATATTTGTTGATATTTATCGTCAATCATTTCATTGTCCGATTCACCAGCAACATTACCAGGTGGCTAACATTATTATTCAATTGGTAGCGGAGTGTCACGTGGCACTAATGAGTCTTCTTCGCTCCAATTGTTAATAATATGCAATTGTTCCTGATTTCTTAGATATCGTAGGCACGACATTATAATCTTATTTACAGTAAAAAATTGACGACAGTACTTTTAGCATGAACGACAAATATTTATATTGCATTGTTTCATCATTATAGTATTATGGGAGCCAGCGTGTGGTTCACCATACGCCTTTTTTCGCCGGCGTCTGGTGACACGTAACTATTACTAAGGCGAAAACTATATTTGGATTTTTGTGAACACATGCTATAATAAATATATTAGTTTCTGTTAAAGGAATGTTATGTATTGGATATAATTTATACGCCGCAAATACTGCAGCGTATGTACTTAATCGCACTGCACATAACACCAATGCAGCTAGTCCTAAAGAACTTTGATCAGGCAAGAAGCAAAATTTAAAGCATTTGTGTGTATTTGGATGCAAAGCCTTAGCTCACATACCGAAGCAAAAGCGAACAAGCTAATTTGCTGCAAAAGCACTTGAGTGTATATTCGTTGGTTATAGTTCTACTTCTAAAGCATATAGACTATGCAACACAAGCACAAAATCAATAATCATTAGTCGAAATGTAGTGTTTCTTGAAAATGAAACGTTCATTACGGTACAACCATCGTATATCAATAACTTTACCGATCGTTGGCAACAACCTTTCGAGCATGATATCGATGCAGAGGAGCGAGCTGGAAGTCTCAAATCACCATCATTAGTAATTGATGAAACTAGTCAAGATATAATCGATAAAAGTAGCCAAGATGTAATTGACGAAAGTAGTCAAGATATAATCGATGAAAGCAGCAAAGCGGTAATTGATCACAATGTCAACGATGAAATGTATTTGCCTGACGATGATGTTACAAAAGTTGATATAGAGGTACATAGATCTGAACGAATTAACCGATTACGTACTTCTCACAATTTTTGTGCAATGAGTTATATATTAGAAGAACCTCAATCAGTTAAAGAAGCCTTATTTTGCAATGATGCTAATGATTGGAAATATGCTATGCAAGAGGAGATGGCATCGCATGCAATTAATCAAACATGGCAACTCACTAAGTTACCACATGGAAAGATAGCAATTCAATGTAAATGGGTTTTTAAAAACAAAGTTTACGCTGATGATGGCGCAGTTCGACGAAAAACGCGACTGGTTGTAAAGGGTTATAGTCAACAAAAAGGAATCGACTACGAGGAAACGTTTGCGCCAGTTGTGCGCTATCGACTACTGTTGGTTTTATCAGCTAAATACGATTTGGTCATACTTTAAATGGACGCAGTAACTGCATTTTTAAATGGCGAACTCAAGTAAGAGATTACATGGCGCAGCCAGCCGGTTTCAATGATAATTCCGGAAGGGTTTGCAAGCTGAATAAGTCGCTGTACGGTTTGAAACAATTAAGTCGAATTTGGAACGAAAAACTCAACTCAGCGCTGTTGGAATTTGAACTCCGCAGAAGTGAAGTAGA